ACACACATATGACGCTATATTAGGGTTGTGGTGTAGTGACTGGAGTCCAACGGAAATCCTATTCCAGCTTGCGTAACAGAGAAGGGGAGAGCATGCGCTCGCGTCCGCACCACCATCCCCCGGCGCTCCCCCTCCACCGACCTCTGTCACGCCCCCTCCGCGGTCTGAGAATGATGCAAGGCATCAAAAAGCGAGGAGGAAGATGCAACACCCAATCTACTTTTGAAACATTCAGATGCAACATTTGCAACATATGTACGAAGACCGATGGAACACTTAAAACAAGCATCTGAAACACTTGAAAAAAACACATGAAAACATGTGAAACTATTGCAAACATACGCAACATCTAGATAAAACACTTACAACATATGTGTGAAACATATACAACATCCACATAAACACACTTTCAACGTACGTCCGAAAACACAGATGAAACATTAGGAACAGACGCTTGCAACATACTGTACAACCATTGCAACATATGCAACATCCTGATTTACTTTTGCAACATTCATCTGAAACACTTGCAATATACCTTTAAAACATTTAAAACACTTGAAATATACGCTTGCAACATGCGTTTTTCACCCTTCTTTCATAGGACGCAGCGTAGAGCGGGGGATGGACGTGCCGCGGGGGATGGCGGGGGCGTGCCAGAGTGGGGCGTGGCGCGGGATGGAGGGCGCCGAGGGGCATGGTGGTTGTTGGCGATCCTTAACTCACACTTTTACCTGCCAAAAGTTATATAAAATCCATCCAACACAAACACCAAACTTAGAATTAGGGCTCATAACTGACAAAATTCTATGAGTTTTGGTGATTCATCAATTGCAGGACATGTCGGGATAACTCAAGAAATGTGTCAAAAGTACACAGAGAACATAGCAAGACAAACACCCAACAGGAGCCCAAGGGGGGAAGGCCCACTTACCAGGCAAATCAGGGCCCAGTTCAGTGGAGAAAAAAGGCCAAAATCCATATCAAATCAACTCCAAATGACGCCAAACTCTACAGGACCCATCTAGAGGCCCAAGGAAAGCAACCCACCAAAGATGGGCCATTTGGGCCCAGTTGGGGTTCGGTCGTACCCCAGGTGCGCCCGTACCACCACTGGCGCCTCTCGGGCCCATTTTTTGCAGGTTGTCAGCTACCGCCTTTGCAATGACGGTTCCATAGGGGTTGGCTAGGTTCAACATATCTAGGACATCGGTTTGAGGTCGGTTTGGTGCTTTAATGAGAGGATCAAGCATATTCCAAGGATGATTCCCTCCTCTCCACTTATAAAAGGAGGCCACCCCCTCCTCTTTTAACAACACTTAAAGGAAGACACAACATAAGAGACACAATGTGACAAGAAGAGAAGAGCTTCATTCCTATCTTAGCTCTCTAGCTAGTTCTAGTGTAGGGAGTGAGTGAGTAAGAGTGGAGAAGTACCGAAGTTGTCGGCTACCTCCTATTGTGTACTCGGGGCCCCTTGTACACTTAGCGGAAGGAATGCCAGGAATCATCGGCTCCTCTCCACTTGTACCTCTATGATTGGAATACTACTTGGAGTATAAGGTTCGTGTTTATCTTCGGCGGTGAGTTCTACTTTAAGTTAGTCTTGTTCATTATTTACTTACGGGTTCGTCGTTCGTCCTTGTGATGAATACTCTAGTAAAGGGCCCTAATAAAGACGGATAATCCTGATCAATGCTAGAGTAGTAGTCGATAGCATAGACGTGGTGTCTAAGCTAGAGGCTACCTCCGTTTGCCTCGTTCCCCATGTTTGAGGGGTAGGTGGCAGGTGGTGACAGCCCTGTCCATTCCTTGTAATCCCCCACGTTTGGGTTTGGCATAGTGCCGTAGGCCGGCAACGCTTGGTAGACCAAGTGTTATCCTTTACCCGAAGCAAGTCTATAGGGCAAAGCTATCTTAACTTAGAATCTCTATCCTTAGAAAACCTTGCTAACCGAGTTATCTTTCTTCTTGTTGTCTTGGGTGAACTAGCTAAGAGACTTTTACACATCTGTTCCTTGTGGAAATACGATACCCTGAATACTTCCGGGTGAAATGCAACAACGGTAATTCCGTGCGCTTGTGGATTATTTCGGTATGCGTTAAGAAATACCAATAGTGGTTGCGACGTGGTCCTCCTCATCCACGTCATCGTCGTTGCTCGAGCCTCCGTCGACATCAGCGTCCGAGCCCGAGAGCTCATCAGCCTCGTATCCGACCTAGAGAGCTCCACGGCATCAGAGTCAGAGGGGACGTCGAGGTTGAAGCCCTCCTATAGAAGTGTAGCTGTTGCTGCTGCTTCATATCGGAATGGTCAGAGGACTCAAGAAGCTTTGGTTTTTTTCGCATGAGGCGCGGGTGGCGCGCGGGTGCGGGCGGGTCGGTCTGTCCGGAACGCCCTGAGGGCATCATTATCGCTTTCGTTTCAAAATGCAGAATCTACGGATTCCTTTTACATGAAGTGAGTGTTAAAAATGTAAGAGGTATATTATATGTATGGGCTCATTCCATGTGCGAGATGGGCCATACATAATTTTTGCATAGGTGTTATAGATGGTACTCAGAACCAGACTAAAAATATGATAATGATACAATTAAGACGTCCGGATAGACGGACGTCTCCCACCGCTCACTCACGCACGCATCGCTCGCACAGCGACCCTATCTGCTCATCCCGTCCACGCGCCCCGATGCTCACTGTGTTGTTTTCTCCCTGTGTCTCCGTACCCACCCCACTTTGCCTCACCGCCACTAGTCCCCCGCAGCGCCGCACCCCATCCCCCGCGCTGCCTCCTCCGCACCGTATTCCCCACCGGGCCCAGTCTGCCTCGCCCGCGCTCTACCATGCTACCTCTTCGCCACGACCGCCTCCACCGAGCTAGCGAGCCACGGCCACCTCCACCGAGCCAGTGAGCCTCCACGATGGATGCTCCAGCAAGCAGGCGATGGGACAAGATTTGTGTGACGCTGCGCCCATCAGCGAGTTGCCCGCGATGCTGCCGCGCAGCGAGGTCCATGCGCCGCCGTCGACCTCTGCGCCGGCGTGCCTCCATTCGTCCAAGCAAAGCCCATGTTGTAAAATGTTTCAAGTGTTTCATTTGGATATTGCAAGTGTTTTATCTTGATGTTGCACATGTTGCAGTGGCTATACACATATGTTTCAAGTGTATGTTCCAAATATTTTATCTCGTTTTGTAGACGTATGTTTGCAAGTGTTTTATCTAGATGTTGCATGTGTTTTCACACATATGAAGTGTTTTCAGGTGTTTTTTGTAAGTGTTTCATACGCATGTTTCGAGTGTTTCAGCTGTTTCGTACGTATGTTACAAGTGTTTTATCTGGATGTTTCAAAAGTAAATCTGGTGTTGCAGCTAGTGTTTTAGATGCATATTTCATGTGTTTCATTTGCCTTCAGACGTATGTTGCAAGTGTTGCATCCGGATGTTTTAAAAGTAGATTGGGTGTTGCATCTCTATCTTCGCTTTTTTGCTGCCTCACCTTCGCATCGGTGTCTCCTCCTCCCCTGGCGCTGGCTGGGCATCCACCGCCGCCCTCTTATGGATGTTGGCGTAGCCACCTGCTGTAGTCACCTACTAGTCGCGTGCATGCGCGTGAGAAGCGAAGGGGGTGCGGGCGGGGACTCCCCACGTGCAGTCGAACGGGTCGGGTAGCGCGGGCCCCGCGTAGGCGGGCGTAGGATGTAGGTGCGCGTGGGGAGACGGAGTGTAGGCGCGGACGTCCGGGCGCTAGCACCACCGCTAAAAATAAGGGCGACCATTCTCTCCAACCAAAAAGCGAACTAGGACTATTCTATCCTAGAATTGAGACCATCCCGTCTACTCTGGTCCCCATACCAAACACAACCATAAATTGTGACTATCTCTCGCAGTGCAAGAGAATAGGAGCAACTGCATGAAGCTTTTTCTTTGTAGATGAAAAGAAGATTGATAGGTGGTTTTAGGTTGTACTTGTACCTAGAGTCTGAGACTATATGTCGCTTAGAATATACTAGATCTCATTCTTGTTTTCTTATTTTCTTTTTGATTCTTTATTATTTTGTACTCCCCCTGGTTTTCTAAAGGATGTCGTTTTGTGGTTGTCTTATGTCAAACATTTTAAATTTTAACTACAAATAAATTCTTTTGGGTTGAGTTTGAAAATATAAAAATGATGTAAGTAGATTCATCTCAAAATATAGTTTTATAAAAGTATATACGGACTATATTTTATAAATATTTTATAACAAAAAGTAATAATCAAAGTTATTTTTCAGAGACCGTATCGTTATCAAAACGACGTCCTCTAGGAAATGGGAGGAAGTAATGACTATGTACCATCGAATTATATAGGCTAGAACTTTATTTTATCTATAAAAGACTATAAATTTGAGGGGTGTCCCATCGCGGCGCGCCCCTGGCCCAGATCACTGTAGATGAACAGTAACGGATCACGATGGACAGCACCCGACCCGCTAAGGAACAGTACCATCCTTTTCTTTCACTGTCGATAATGACTATGTTACAAGTTGTTTTTCTTTCACCATCCTTTCCTTTCTTTTTTTTTTGGTCCTCACAGCGTCCACTGCTGCCCGTGCTCCATCTAAAAAGTATCGCTTTGGTCATTTTGTTGCACAACACCTGTTCAGTGACCAATTCGCCGCACAATTAAGTAGAGATGACAAATGTGATGCCATTGGACAAGGTATATATAATTATGTCACCAAATGGGCAGTTACACCAATTATGACTAGCAGGAACCAAAAAAATTATGACTAACAGGAACCAAAAAAAAATTTCTCGAATAGGAACCAAAAAGTTTCGCAACCAAACCAATGCGGCGTGGTTCTGTTGTGTCTTGCTGTGCCACACCCACCTACGATCTAGCTTAAATTTATGTACACATTAATCTGTCCTTTTAATTTGCTGCTTCTCTCCTAACACACTAGTAGTAGTACGTGCCAATTGCCATGTTAATTAACCATGAGAGCTACTACGCGCCTACTACGCCCCTCTCTCCTTGACGTAGCTGGACGTCCTCCGGTGCCGCCGCAGCGCGCTAATGTGCGGGCCGAGTTCGCCGCCGTCCCGGTAATGCAGCACCACGTCAGCGTGGACCGCCGAGTTGGGGAACTTCTGCCGGTGCCGGTCCTGGTGGCTCATCTGGTGCTGCTTCTTCTCCTCCACTGTCGTCTCTATCGTCACGTCAACCTTCTCCCCGTCAACAACCTTGCCTTCGCCACCGTCGTTGCTCTTGCCGTCGCCATCTTCCACTACGACGGTGAACACAAACGGGCCGATCTGGAGGTAGTCGTCCATGTCCAGGACGGGCTCCAGGGACTGGACCACCTCCCTCATGGTGGGCCTAGACTTCGGGTTCTGGCTCAGGCACTTGTACGCCACCATAGCAGCCCGTTCAGCCCCTCGGCACGAGTACTGGCACTCCATGGCCGGGTCCATGACCCGGTACAGCTTGTCGGGCTTCCTGAGGTAGGGCCTGGCCCAATCCACCAGGCTCTGCTCCCTGGGCCGCCGAGCCCGGTCGACAGACCGCCGGCCCGTCAGGAGCTCCAGGAGCACCACCCCGAAGCTGTAGACGTCGCTCTTGGCAGTCAGGTGCCCCGTCATGATGTACTCTGGCGCCGCGTATCCGTTTGTCCCCATCACGCGCGTTGTGACATGGGTCGCGTCGCCCTGAGGCCCGTCCTTGGCGAGCCCGAAGTCCGACAACTTGGTGTTGTAGTCCTGAAAATCCAAAGAACCAGATTGAGTTAGGCGAAGATCGCATTCGTTCATAGGTGACAATTACATGCTTGGATGCTAAGACAACGCCCCGGCCCTCTCAGACTATCACTGTCAGGCAGCATCAAGCTGTTTAAGCTACTACTAGTGATTTGATTTGGTGCCAAGAAAAAAAATGCAGTGCAGATTCTTTTTTAATTATACATGTTGCCATTATTTAGGTAGCGGACTGCATGAGCTGGGATTGATAGATAGGAATTGGGCATCCAAGAAACATCCAAGTTGCAATCATGCATGCCGGGGCTGGTCTTCTATCGAACCCAGCCAACAATTTTGGAACGCGTGGCAGACGACTTTGACATCCATTTCCTATGGACGATTCAGGGTCAAATCTCTCGAAAAGTGGATTTGTACCGAGCTTTATATGAATGATTTCCGTAACGAATGAATTTTCTGATTTTGCTAAGGCAGCCACAAGGTAGGTAGGTGTCGTCACTATATCCTTTTCTACAGCTACGCAAGAGCTACCGTGGAAAGCAGCGAGCCGTATGCGTCAGAAATGACCGTGCTTTTCCTAGCGTCGAAACCACCTACCACTAGACTCCAGTAGTCCATTGCAAGCGCAACGAAAAGAATGCGCAGAATTCTCACGCTGGACGTGGATCGGTCGCTCACCTCGTCAAGCAGGATGTTGGAGGCCTTGAAGTCCCGGTAGATCACCGGCGTGTCTGCGTCGTGGAGGAAGGCGAGGCCCCTGGCCGCGCCGACGGCGATCTTCATCCTCCTCGTCCATGGCATGGAGCCGTCGAGACCTGCACGCACGCAGTTGGCACGACGCTTCGTCAAACCAAAGCTATTCTGAATAAATATGATTAAACGACGCCAATTGTTTGGCTAACCACTCTACTTAATTTCATCATGAACTCCGTACCACTAGCAAAAGTTAACGATGGAGACAACAGACACGTGAATTTTGTGCTGCAGGAGTCGGAGTACTCACTTCTGAAGAGGTGCTTCTCGAGGCTCTGGTTGCTCATGTACTCGTACACCAGCAGCCGGTGCTCATCCTCGTAGCAGTACCCGACGAGCTTGACCAGGTTGTCGTGCCGGAGCTGGCCGAGGAAGAAGACCTCGGCGAGCCACTCCCGGTGGCCCTGCGTGCCGGTGCCGTCGAGGTCGAGGTACTTGACGGCCACCTGCTGCGCGTCCAGCCCTTTGCGCAGGCCGGCGTCGACGCGGCCCCTGTAGACGGGGCCGAACCCGCCGGATCCCAGGTAGTTGGCGCGGGAGAAGCCCCCCGTGACGGCCCTCAGCTCGGCGTACGTGAAGGCGTGCAGGTTGGACCCGGACAGCGTCACGGACAGGTCCTCGGGCGTCAGCGTCCCCGATGAGCTGAGGCTCGACAGCGACACCCGCGACGCCGACGTCGAGGACGGCAGCAGCAGGAGCCGCTCCCCCCGGTCCCTCCTCCGGCTGCGGCTGCCCCTCCGCCGCCGCGGCGGCGACGGCCCGTCGTCCTCGCCCGAAACCGCGCCGCCGTTCACGCAGCAGAACAGCGACCCCCACGGCTGCGCCGTCGCAGACATCGCGTGGTACGCCGATCGATCAGCTCCAGGAATCCGCCTACCGGAGGCAAATGCGCTTTGATTGCTTAGTTGCTTTGCTTGCTTGGTCGCGGCTGTGGAGGGATCGGAGTCGGAGAAGAGAGTCGGCCGGCGGCGAGAGGGAAAGGAAAGAAGGTTAGAAGAGAGCTGAGAGCCTGAGACAGCTCGCGCGGCTAGCGGCGTATATATAGTATAGCGTGCGGCGTCCGAAGTCCTAACGGAACGGGGCGTCCCCCCTGCGTGTGCCTTGACCAGTTGACCCTGTCGCGGGGCGCAAAGCAGAAAAACCACGGGGCCGCGACCGCGGAAACGGCGTCACAACCCGGGCAAAACCGCTGTTCGCTCCAACCTCTCTTCTCGAAGGAAGCGGAGTGGATGGGCGCCCCCTGCCCTGCTCTTGGACCCGGCGGACGGACACCGGGACACGGACACGGACACGGCCACACGGGCTGGGTGAAATCTGCCGCCGCGGACGCCTCGTCGCCCCGCCGGTTTGGGAGCCACGACGCCCGAGGGTGGGGGTGGGTTGGGCCGCTGCGACGATTACGCGACGCTGACCGGTGAACGCAGCTCGCAGCGTTACGTGACGCCGATGAGCAGGACGGGGGGCGGCGGCGGTATGTGACGATCGCTAACAGGTCGGTTTCTTTCTTTACACGGGGGATCCGAGGTTGCTTATAACGAAATCACGCGTGGTACATGCCCGGGGAATTTTTATTTACCCATGTGCAAGTATAAAGTAAAATAAAGATCATGTGAGAAATCTGCACGAGTATTATTAATCAATGCTCAAGTAGTAGCTTTCTTGCTGGTGCTCCTCTTTCTCTTGCCTTTCAGTTATGACCAATCCTCTGCTTCGGCAGGATTGTAGCTGTAGAAGCTACAGCTAAGCTATGGAGGCAGATAAAACCGTTAGCTCTCTCTAGCGGCTTGCATGGCGTGCGGACAGGCAGGCAGAGGGTTGCACGTACGCCCTGATGAGCAGCCTGGCTGTCTGATATTCCACAGGAATCAGGATAAGGGTTCAGGACATGCATGGCGCAGCAGCTAGCGCCGTGTCTTCGGTTGCACCGGCACCTCAATTATAGTCGTTCTTAATTAGGAGACAAGAAACAACGGTGTGACGGAAATGGAAGAAACGCCTCTGATCCGTGACGAATGAATCGGTGTTGAACATTCTGTCGCGATGACGCGCATGCAGTTGAAGCATCAACGTTGGGTTTCGACTTTCGACTTCTTGTCAAATGAGCTCTTCGCTATATTTTTTTTTCGCTCTCTCCCTCTCTTGATTTTTAAGTAAGTGATACGGAATCAGGAAAGCATCGATCTGGTGTGAGCTGACATTTTACCCTCTCTTTTCGGGAAGTGGTTCAAACGTTTTGTGCGCATTCGGGTGGTACGCTACGCTGAGGGTGTTGTTTGGGTGGTAAACAATAGAGACACCTACGCTGATCGAGGGTGTTGCTTATCTCCCGATGCCCGCAAATTGGAAAAAGGAATAAAAATACTACCAAATCTATAGAAAAAAAAAGAGTAGTCATTCTATTTTTTCTATATACATAGCTTTTGTATAATATATATCTAGGTGTATAACAAAAACTGTGTAACTAGAAAAAGCTACAACAAATTATAATTTAAATTAGAGAGGAGAGTAACACTTATGATACAGAATAAGTATCATAAGATTAACTATGTAATATACTAGTATAATAAACCTACTTGGAGACATAAATGTGGACATTATTTAAAAAAAATAGTAAACCTTAGAGTTTGTCTGGTTTTAAAGTTAGAATTATATTTTTTCGGATCGATTGAGGGAGTATAGCCTAGGGTGTATTTGGTTCGAGCACAGGCACTGACAGAGACACTTACCCGGTCAGTCAGCGCTCCAAACAGCCAAGCTGCGGGCGGAGCAAATGGCAAGGCGGTTCACTGTTCGTGCCTTCGTGGCCTTTGGGTTCGGCTTAGACCCGTTTAGATCCTTTTTTTTTTTGATTTTGGCTACTGTAGCATTTTCGTTTATATTTGGCAATTAGTATCTAATTATGGACTAATTAGGTTTAAAAGTTTCGTCTCGCGATTTCTCACCCAACTGTATAATTAGTTTTTTTTTCGTCTACATTTAGTACTTCATGCATTAGTCGTAAGATTCGATGTAACAGATACTGCGCAAAAAATTTTAAAATCTAAACGGGGCCTACATGCAATGTATCCAGGCTGCTACTAGAATCAGCGACAGGGCAGTGGAATTCAAGATGCCCGAGGCGACCAGCAGCGTCGCCCGGCCCAGGCGCACGCATTTTCTCGGGTGCTGCTGCTGCCCCTGCCGCCCTGCGCGGGCAGATCCATTGAACCTAACGGAAGGCATTAATGGGGCGGACCGCGCGCCGATCGGGCCGGCTCGAGAGCGGAAAGCGACGCCACGCCGCCTCTGACCCCGACGCCCCAATCCAGCAGGCGACGCACGCATCCGCCTCGATTTTTTTTTATTTTTAACATATTTTTAAACTAATTTTAAAACTAATACTGTTTATTTTTTTTCAAATCTAATATTTTTGGCCACGCCTATTCGTACGACGTGGCGATTTAACGCTGCCGCGCCATGTATGGAGGCGCGGCAAGCTTGCCCACGTGGCAGGAACCAGGGGCCTGACCGGTGACGTGGCTGGCTCTGCCGCGTCACCGATCGTGGCGCGGCGGTGACGCGCCACGCATCATAGCTAGCAGCGATGACGCCGCCACCGCTTGTATGCTGGCGAGCCGGCTATATATAGGCTCGCAATGAGCCTTTCCTCCTCTCTGCATTTTGATCTCCAGGCAAAGCAGTTTGCCTCGTGTCGCCCTCGCCACCGCCAACGCGCCTCCTAGCCCGCCATTGCCTCCCGGCTCCCCCACGGCCGGCCGTCGAATTTCCCTCCCTTAGCGTTCTCCTCCCTACCTTTCCCGAAGCTCCTCCTCGGCCTTGTCAAGGTAACGAAGCTCCTCCTCGGCCTCTACGGTGGATCGAATGATTTGAATGAGTAGGTAGGGTATGGAGGAAAATATGAGTTTGTTAGAACGTTGGATTGAAAGATTAGGATTAGAATTGCTAATATTAAGGTTAATTGGTTAGTTAGAATTATGATTACCATGTATTTTGTTTGTTTGAGTTTGCATCTCAACTTTTATATGAGAATAAATATATGGACACACTGATGATGTACCAAATTTTATTTTTTACTGACCAAAATATAGTGTTTATATAGTTTTCATGTATGCGGCTAAGATAGAGTTTACACTAAAGTGTAGGTTATATTTTATTTGTTGTAATACAAATGGTTCTCATTGACATTAATTTGTGATGTTTTGATTTTTGTTTGTTAAATTACAACCGTTTTGTTAGATGCAAGAAACGTATCGGTAGGAGTTTTGGCGAAAACGGGGTCGTTCTCGAGAATTATACCCCGACGCGTCTAGCAAAGATGCCTCCATCCCTCCTGACCTCCCTGTCTCTAACTGTGACTGTGGTTTTTCGGGTCACGTGTTTCAATTGAGACATCCAGACACAGCGGTGCGTTGCTTCTACACATGCAGTCATTTTAATGTAAGTAATTGTTTCCACTGTCTTTTTTTCTTTATTTGTGTAAGTATGCTACTAATATTTTATTGGAATCTTGTTGTGTAGGACCATGAGAAGTGTTTTTTTCCAGTGGATCAATGGTACAGACAAGTTTGACCCTAGGTACCTTATTTTCGACGATGGGTGCAGAGAAAGACATCCACGTGAGCACTTCAAGTGGTGGGTTCCACCCCCTAACCCCCGGCCAATGACGGCTAAGGAGAAGCACCTAGCCGCAGTTAGTCGACTCGAGGAACCTCCTCTGTGCGAATGCGTAGATCGAGATGTAATAAACTCTGAGAATACATTGGAGTTTGTGTGTCCGAACAAACACGAAGTAAGCGTAAAGTGTATCTGTTTAAATGTTTAGCTCTATGTATGCGTGTACTAATGTCTCCTCTTTTAGGTGTATGGATTTGTGAAGTGTCGTTTCAAGGAGTGGCTCTATGGTTCTAAGAATCAATGGCCGGAGCCACCAAAGGCAAAGGATAAGAAGAAAGAAATGTTAATTTACAAAGCACCTCCGGTCAAGTGCGAATGTGGTGTTAAATCCAACTACGGTCTAGTCCCTTCGAAGCTTGGAATAGACCATTATTGCGGCCATATGGTTGACTATGAAATGATTAGTTATTTTTGAGGTAAACATGAAATCGTATTTTATTTCTTTTGCTAAGACATATATGATATAATTTTTCATTTGAACAGAGCACTGGGAAATACAGGTGGAAATGTTATGATGGTCAAGCTAAGTTTTTGGATGAACTGAAAGGGATGTAAGTAATTGCATGGAAGAGGGGATATGGACCTGACTATGTCAACCTATTCATTAAACATCACAAAGACCAGATGCGTGAGTTTGCTAGACAACGCGGTATTCATAACCCGATCGATGTTGAGCTTGATAAATAGGGATTAGAGAGATGGATGGCATTAGAGGAGGAGAGGGTAAGAAAGGAGGCAAGGGAAGAGACAACAGTACAGATACAGATCTTGAACGAGCATGTTGTTGCATTATGTGTCAGTGAGTGCTTGAAAGCCTTTTTTCGTTGCCTGATTTTAAATGTAATATAATCGCGTTGCTAACTGATTGCATTTTATATATGAAGGGATTGGATGCAGCGAGAACCATGCCTCAGAGGTGGCTCATGCAAGTTATGAGGAAAAGAAGTTAGATAAGCACAGAATACGAGTTGGTCGCACCGTTCAATCGCCGATTGTGTTGTCTAATGAGGGGGACGAGAATGAGGACGACATTGGCAGACTGAACGAGCTCATCGCTCTAGCAGAGGCGGGCTTACAGGCGGAGAAGGCTGAGGACGACATTGGCAGACTGAGCGAGCTTATTGGTCTAGCAGAGGCGAGTTTGCAGGCGCAGGAGGCTGAA